TCATTTGTGGTGTGATATTTGTATGAGATACAAGGATTTTTCGGAAGCATCTCATATCTACAGTTTTGATCCTTTTTTCAAGGTCTGCATTCAAGGTCGAGGTTTCACACGCATACAAAAATACTGACATGACCAGGGAAAGCATCAGTCTCATCCTTGATCTGATGGTGATGTTTCTCTCGTTCCAGAAGGATTTTCACTTGGTCATTGCTGCTGAAGTGTGCTATATTCTGGAAATTATATCTGGTTTTGATCCTTCGTCTGTCACTATTGCACCCAGGTATTTGACGCTGCGTACGATCCCCATCCTGTGATTGTTGACCTGGATGTCCACTGTGATGTTATTGCTGTTGTTAGACATCCGTTTGGTCTTCTCAGCGCTGATTTCCATGCTGTTTGGCTGTGGAGGTCTTTTCAAGACGGTCTACTAAGCTGACTAGCTTTTGCTCTTGTCTTGCAAGGCCGTCTATGTCTCTGCAAAACGTAATGTATTAATGTTTCTTCTCCCAATACTGCTTGCTCCTTCGTGATCTTCAAGTGCATCTGGCATGATCCTCTCCCAGAAAATGTTGAAAAGAGTGGGGGAGAGCAGACAACACTGTCGTACTCCCACTGTTGTTCGGAACCATTCCCCAATATTGCTGTTGAAAAAGATTTCGCTCGTAGCTTTGCTGTAGGACTTTTCTATGCCTTTGATCAGGTTGGCATCGATGTTGTATAAGTTCATAGTTGACCACAGATCTTCCTGCCATACTCTGTCAAAGCTTTTCTGAAGTCCAAACACTCTTGGATCTCCGGTGATTTTCTGGATGTACAGTTGAGAGCAAAATTCTGTCCACCGGTTCTGAACTTCTTGTTTCTCCGTTCGATATTTCCCTTTTATACTTTGTATTGAGGAGGTCTGCCCTTGTTTGGTACTTGTGAGATCTTTGATTATTTGATAAGCTTTTTTTTTTTTACTGTTGTTTTAATTCAGGTTGTATTCAATTTCTTCACTCTGTTCTTCAATCCACTTCTCTCTCGCTCCGCTTATTCTCTCTGTCACCTGCAGATTTCGTCTCTCTATATTCTTTTGCACCTTCTGGTTCATTTTTCTTGTTCTTCAGAGCTCTTCGTTTGTCACATAGGTCAAGGATGTCGCCTGTGATCCAGGGCTTCTTTTTCACGTGATGTTTCCCAAGGAGCTCATTTGCTGTTTCTGTCATTTCCGTGTTCAAGATAATAATAATAATAATAATAATAATAATAATAATAATAATAATAATAATAATAATAATTGTGGTCAGATGGTGTTTTTCGTGTGAGCACTTTGCAGGTCCCTGCGAAGTCATGATCATGTCAGCTGCTGTGTTGTGAGTTAATTGAGTCACTACATGACCCCCCACCAGCGTTGACATGGCATGAGGTTCTAGAACCGGGGAGGTGGTCTCACGATACGTCCTGAACGTGAGACCTTCCAGCCTGCTTGTTGTGGTTCCTGTAGAGTAACAGGAGCTGATTGTACAGCTTGGTTAGGCTGGGTTGTATTGTTAGTATTTGCGCTTGGATTCACAAGCGATGAAGACGGAGGTTGCCCACGTCTTGGTGCCTGAGCAACATGCACTGGTTGCGACAGATCCACAAAAGCTGGTTTGAGTCGGTCCACAGAGATGAGTTCCGCGTGACCACTTAGATCGACAAGAAAGGTTTTGTCATGCCTTTCTAAAACCTTGCACGGACCAGTATACGGGCGCTGTAGGGGCTTTTGGTGAGCGTTGCAGCCGATGAAGACGAACTTGGCTGTGTCTAGTAACGAGTGGGTGTTGGAGGTAGGTGCACAGTGCAGTGATGTCGCCTTGGCTAGTTGTGACTGCATTTGGAATCGTAAGTTGGCGAGGCTGCGTGACTGGTCAAATGGTGAAATGTCACTGGTAAAATATTCGCCCGGTACTCAGGGTGGTTCTCCATAAACTAGCTCAGCGACAGAAGTTCCCAGGTCCTCTTTTGGGGCAGTCCTCAAACCGAGCAGTACCCATCCCAGTTCATCGAGCCAGTTCGGGCTTTGGAGTCTTGCTTTGAGAGCACTCTAAAGGGACCGGTGGAATCGCTCAATCAGTGGGTTGGATTGATAGGCTGTTGTATGATGAAGATTGGTACCAAGGTGCCCGGCCATCTCTCTCCTCAAAGCAGAAGTAAACTGAGGGTCTCTGTCGGATGTGATGTCGATGGGGGTTCCAAAACGGGCGATCCAGTGATTGATTAGCGCACTGCCACATTCTGCTGTTGAGGTGTCCTTGAGTGGGATAGCCTCTGGCCATCGTGACGTTCTGTCGATGATTGTGAACAGGTGAGTGAAGCCCTGCGATGGGGGTAAAGGACCTACAAGATCGACATGATGGTAAGGGTTGTGACGAAAACGCTAGTCCGCTCAAATAAGATTCAAAATATAATCCAAGACAGAGCACACAAAGCTAAAATTGCGTTTCAACTTGTCGTGGTAAGTCTGAAAGGTGACAATCCATATGTGCGGGACGGCAGCGGCAGCGGTACGGCAGCGGGACGATAAAAATCGCTCCAACAGTAATATCAATGTCTGAATCAATAAGTGCGGTTCGGCAGCGGGACGATAAAAATCGCACCCAGGAGCGACTCCGCCGCTGCCGCAGCTCTGCCGCAGACAAAAAATATGAATATGGCGGAATAGGGTTGACTGTGAAGAATCTCTGTGTGATGCAGTCAATTCATTTGACAGGGAAAATTTGCTGAAACCATTGCACCCCTAAGTCGTCGTTCATCCTCCCATTTTCTTGATATGCCCAAATGGTGCCTTCTGGACTGTCCTGAATGACAAAGGAATGGATGGACCTGTTCGTTATGCTAGTGACAAAAGATCAAGATAATCATTATCAGCAGTATTCGTTCTTGTTTCACTGACCTAGACAGTTTTGACTGGGTAGGTGCCAGGCTGCTCAATACAAAAAAGGCGCCAACATGCCTTCCCCTATTGAATTTGCCACTTGTGATATTGCACATATCGTCCCGCTGCTGTGCCGCTGCCGCTGCCGCTGCCGTCCCGCACATGGATTGCTACCTTTACTCACAGGAGTTTTCTACTCGACTGGCCGTGTAGGACAGTCGGGTCAGGTGGTGTTTTTCATGTGAGCACTTCGCAGGTCCGTGCGAAGTCATGATCATGTCAGCTGCTGTGTTGTGACTTAATTGAGTGTTCGGAGAGTCACAAAATAATAATAATAATAATAATAATAATAATAATAATAATAATAATAATAATAATAATAATAATAATGATAATAATAATAGTAGTAGTGTGACGTACAGGTTTAGCGTCTGACGGGCAGATGTTTTCCGCAACTAATGCAGACGTTTTCCCTCCAGAAGCACACAGCATCCGTGGCCACGAGGGGATGACGTGGGTATCTGGGTGGTTAGAACAGGTGAACGTTTACCTTCTGTTCGTATAACGACATGTGCCAGACCTGAGATGAATGTACAGCTGGGAAGACGCCCACTGTCGTATTTTCATATTCTGGTGGGAGAGAGAGAGAGAGAGAGAGAGAGAGAGAGAGAGAGAGAGAGAGAGAGAGAGAGAGAGAGAGGAGAGTCGCGAGAGAGAAGGAAGGGAGAGGTTATGTGTGTGTATGTGTGTGTGTGTGTGTGTGTGTGTGTGTGTGTGTGTGTGTGTGAGAGAGAGAGAGAAAGAGAGAGAGAGAGAGAGAGAGAGAGAGAGAGAGAGAGAGAGAGAGAGAGGGTGGGATAGAGGGTAAAGGGGGGGGGGGACAGGATAGAAGGACGTTTGCATGTTATGCCTGTGTCTAAGCCCGCTTGTCCTCCAAAACAGAAATCGCCCGTGATGTTTAATTCATACTCTGCTCAGAAAGCTCTAATAGTTGTTCCCTTTTATAGTTGCAATCTGAATAGGTGTCATAGTGTAGTCCAATTTTCCCATGGTGTCCTTCTTGGGCCTAGGTGCCCAATTCATAATCATAATCCAGTTCATAATCAGCACCTCAGAATTAGCAAGATCCAAGCGTAAACCACCAATTTAAATGCATTTTAACGGTTTTCTGTTGTTACATTTTTCATAATATTTCCGCTTTGTGTTGCTTTGACATGTTCACCCTCTCCGGAAACGGACGGACTGGTTATTTTCTCCTACCGAGAAAACTTGGGTTCGTTTCCGTTTTAGTGGACACGAGGCCTTATTAAGCACCTTTCTGACTGCCTGGGCCATCTGCATCCTCGTCTTCAAAACAGGATCCTATTCGAGCAACAAAATTGTTCTGACTCGGAAATGACTATGACAAAATAAAAATAGTATACCGCATTTAATTATTATAATCGTTCTGTTCCAGGTATAGATATGTTAACACCTGTTTTTTTAAAATAAAAGGCGGATTTCTTGAAGAGATGGGGGAAGACATCGGTCGGACAAAAGTATGATTAAGTGGCATCGCGTTGAAATCAGGCGCTCGTCAAAATACTGACATCAAAGAAATAGGCATTTTTCTGATTGCCGGGCAAGTTTTATCTTTTTTTCCCCTCAAAACCTTTTATATCTATCTAAAAACACATTTCTGTGTGGATTTTGCTTAAAAACATCGATTAAAGGCACAAAAAAAAGACAATTTTCGGTTTCTAAGGACTCTCGGGTTATGGAAATTACCAAGCTTTGGAAGCCATTTTCTTGCTGATTTCACCTCTGAAACCAGACAACCCTGACCTCTTTTAGTCGCAAATATTTCGATTTCTATTTAACATAGATGGATTTTTTTTCACCAAAAGCAAGGCAAATGAATAGGCTTTAAGATGATACCAATACCCCCATCTCCCCAAAAATTGACAAGCGCCTGATTCCACAATGTCGTAACATAATTTGTTAAGTTAGATAACGCTGGATCTACGCTTATTACTGATCACACAAGCAAACACACACACACACACACACACACACACACACACACACACACACACACACACACACACACACACACACATACACACCTAGACGAACATTCTAAAATGTAAAATGTGTCGCAAGAAAAGAGAATGAAGTCTGCGTCATCAGTTTTACTTTTAATTCCAAAATCAGTTTTAGTAATACAGTCAAAACCTATACATACATTCAGACGACGACACCTTCCTGCACATAAATAAATGCGCGCCTACGTTCACACACACACACACACACACACACACACACACACACACACACACACGCATGCACACTTAAGCGCGGGAGCAAGCGCTATTTGGGCGTTTATTTAAACAAATATATATCCCTGATTCTCATGACCCATGATCCGTAAGAACTTTCGACAGCCAAGGTCTCCAGCCAGCTGCAGGTTACTTACGGGGAGTCCAGACCCTAGCTAATTACTCCCTTACTTTTAGGACGCCTGATCCCTAGCCAGATACGTTATTACTTCCGACGAATCCGGACCCAAGCCAATTTCTCGATTACTTCCGGCGGCCTCGAAAGTTAGAAAATTTGGTCAGCTTCGAAACTTACCACTGGTTGCCTCGCTTGGCTCAGGGATAGAAACATAAACCAAAAGCGGAAGAGGTAGGCGTTTGCCACTCATTTAGTTTTTGTTTCTTTAAACGTAGGTGTTTTACGCTCTCACCGACACCGTTTAGATAATTTCGGACAGATCCTTCCCACGGGGTCTGTCAGGCCGAACACAGGCTGAAAAATGTACAACATCACAACTATAAGACTGATATACTCAATAAAAATTCTCCTCTCAAGGGAATCGAACTCATGCCTCCTTAGTGAGACAGCAAAGCGCCTAACTGCTTCCCACAGACGTCAGTTCTTTTATTCTTTAAATCAAAAACTTAATCCAAAAAAAATTAAAAAGCAGACGGGGAGGTGGACTCGGCATGTGTCTCTGCTTTGAGAAAGTTCGAAACCATCTTTGGCTGACAACAAAGACAAAATCAATATCAATATGAGTTTAAACGTTTCGCAGTTATTATATTGAATTATTATTTTCCACGGTTTTTATCATACCGAGTATTGCGCATAAACAGATCTTTACACAATAACTTTATGACACATTTATGTGCAAAAAACTTATTTGATGGAAAGAAAAGAGGCCGAATCAGGTATGGTAGTTCTGACAGAAGCCAGCGTTCACCGGTCGTCGCTCACAAATAAAAGCAGAAGCCAAAATTTAAATATAGTTTTTGAAACACTTGAAACGCAATAAAAGTCTTGAACATCTAGATCTAGCTCTCAGCGCGAAGTTAGGAGGAAAAAGAGACAGGGATAAAACAAAAACAACTGAAATAGCCGAATGACGGGAGAAGACAGAGGAATGCTAATGAGGATTTTTAAAACAGTAAAACAAGTTGTAACATACTTTTCAAAAACCCAAAAAACACATTCAATGCTCCTGAACTTAAATAAACACAGTCCCCCAAAATTAAATATTCTCCCGGAATATACGTGCTGGATTCCAAACTGCACAGCTGATTCTGGAAGGTACATGTTCCAGTACTCCTTGCGACCGTGAATTGACAGCTCATACTAGATCTAGGTCTTGGATGAGTAAAAAGTTGGCACCACTTTTAACCTTCCACATATACAAAACATTAATTTAGTGCAGACAAGAACTCTTGCTGCATGGGCAGAAATAAATTTTAAAAAAGTAAACAAATACCTCTGGGGATGGGGTAATTACATAAGTTAATGCTCAGTGGTCATGGTGCCATAGCTGTCTTTCGAGGTATAATAATGTATTGGCTTTTGGGTAGTGACGTCTTCAGAGTCCTCGTTGATAGATCCAATTAAACTACTTGTTGTGGGACCTGTCCCCTGGAAAACAGAAACAAAAGCAGCTGACTACCATGCGGCGTAGTACGTCACAGGAAATAATATGATCAATTGAGGTAAGACTTAAGACGTACGCGACGCTTAATCGCACTTCAGGTTTTTCACCTCCTATAACAACATCATATTATAAGAGAGAGAGAGAGAGAGAGAGAGAGAGAGAGAGAGAGAGAGAGAGAGAAAGAAAGAGAGAGAGAGAGAGAGAAAGAAAGAGAGAG